ATCAGTTACATAGTATTTCTGTACAGTTTGAGTTATTTCAGTGTAAAAATGTATCTTATCAGCATTATTACTTGGAGCATATACATTAAAACATAGATACTGCTCACTGTCATGTTTAAATTTTACACCAAATAATCGATCGTCTTTGTGACATATTTCAAAATCTACAATATCAAAAGACTTGTTCACTATAATTAATTCACCTCTACTATGTGGAGTGCCACAGTTGGCATATATTTTAGATCCCCAATCAATACTCCACTCTTCAATAAGTTGTTCTGTTATATAACTTTCTTGCACAAAAGCTAAGTCACACTTGTTTTCTTTTAAAAACTGAAAAAAGTATGATGGGTCAATTTCCGACGTAGTCCTTGAACATTTCCACTAAAGATCGTTACCATAATTATCTAAAGGTTAATGCATAATACATATTAACCATTATCACTTAAGTCATCGACTTTGTTTCTTTTATCCTCCACACTTTCAGCTAAAGGGCTGACTAAGTCACGTGACCTTGTTTTGACAAACACATGTTTGTCCAATGTTTTTTGATTTGGAGTTAGAGGTGGTTATGATTTTTTCTTAGAGTTTTTTTTCACTATTGTACGTTTGCCAACAATATCACTATCGTCACATGAGAGCTGAGAACCACATCTTTTAACAGAATCATGATCCAAACTAGATTGCTGTGATCCACTGATGCTATAGTTAATGCATAACTTATTTTATAGAATGATAATATAGTACCCCCCTGAAATATTATTCTAGGGGGGTAAAACTGCTCAGAATCCTTCGTCCACAAACTAAAAAGACCCAGACATATATGAATTGATGCTAAATGAAGTCATCTTTCAGAAACATTATGTCTATCAAGTGGCCCTTGAACTTCCCAAAACCAATGCTGAGTCCTGGCCTATATGGTTTCATTTACGGGTAGTGTTTTTTTAAGACACAACTGTAGACAAAATAGTCAGAAAAATAAAGAGCTATGTAAGATATGGCAAGCATTTTTCAAAGGGCTATATCTAAGTTCTAAGAATACTTTAACCATGTTAGATCCATGTCTTATCATCAATAAATGACATAAGGATGATAATCAAGTTGACTGGATTATCTCTTAAGCTGTCCCTAATCCACCCATCTTCACCAATTTTCCCTAATTCTGATGCAATTTTCACCAAAAATGCAGCTTTTTATTTCAGCTTTTATGGCAAAATAACAATTTATTGTAAGGAATGATTTACCTCTAAAAAGGAAAACTTAATTACTTTGGGATTAGGATAATCCGAAAACAATAACTTTTTTAGGTCGAATTTTCGACCTTAGTGTAAAGTGTATGAAAAGATGTCACTTAGAGCGACATTTAGATGTACCCTATTTTATGCAATGATGTTTATAGATAGAGTTATATATGTTCCATAGATGGCATGATATATTCTACATTGGTGAGTGCTTAATACCCTGTGTATTCATTGTTGCATAATTGTGTATTATAGAAATGAGCGTGGATATGTCAACATGACTGTGTCCTGTAAAGTATGTACAGTAAAACATAAATGTGTTTAACACCTAGTAAAACACATAGGATGAAATACTTGTTTATATATTTGTATTGTATAGTATAAATGAATACTTGAAATATTACACATTTGCGATGTTTCAACAAACATGATTCAATACCATCTTATTTGAATTAACTCTTCCCATGTGTATCTTTCAATCATCTTGGATGTTTCGAAAGTGCCTTCTGTGAAGGGGTTTGCTGTAAATGATCTTTCCAAAAGTGTTATATGTAGTAGGTATTGATACAGGTACCACTGTATACAGAGTACATGCAAATAATAATTTTCTCCAATGGTTTGGCCAAACATTTGTTGCATTTTTTGTTCATTTCAAATTATATTGGATTGTTTTTGCTGATTGGGTATCCCGGGATTTTTATGTAATAAACAGTTTAATGCTATGGGTTTTACCATTTGACAATAGGTATATTGCCTTGTGTAATTATGATATTTTCCCTCGATCACTCTATTCCCTCAGTCAATACTTCGGCCTTCAGGCTTTGTATAAAAATCTTATACCTCGTAGGCACGTACCCACGTACTTGGGGCATAATACATTCTTTGGTGTAAAGGGTTCTAACGTTTCAGATTATTCAGATTATATGAATTGTAAGTGCATTAATGCACTCGTAGACCTACGTGTATGTCTTATATAGGTTGGTCCAAAAAAAGTGAACCCCTGCAACAGGCTATATTTTCCTTAATACTTGCATGAATTGCCTCATATTATCACATGTTGTAGAGAAAGGTCTAAAATTGTTGTTGGTGCCATAATTTATTCTCAGTCTTAAATTTTCAAGAAATTAGAAGACTTAAACGAACATGCCTGAAAATTAGATTGTGCAAAATTTTACCAACGTAATTCATGGAAATTGTTGAAACATGTTAGGTATTCTTAAACATGTTCTTCAGGTTGGCTAATCAAATCACAAAATATTTTTTCTTCTTTCCACAACCTTTATTTTACTATAACCAGGACGTTTCGGATCCTGTCTGGATCCTTTTTCAACTGTATAAAAACTGAACTGAAGCGCTACAAAACAATTAAATAAAAACAATATTATGTCATATTAATTCACCAAAAATTCATTCCAAATTCCCGCCAATTTATAGTTCCCTTCATAATATTATCGTTTTTCTTTATAAAAATAGATTCTTTTATCCATCTTTCAAGTCTCTTATTGTCATTGTCCAAAACCATAGTATTGTTCCAGTCCATTACGCAATTATTCTGAAGGACGTGGTCCGTAATGGCTGATTTATTCATCACCCCTCTCATATTTTCTTTTGCTTGGCGCGTGTAACGTGAATTGTCCCTCGAATCTGCTTCAATCTTATGTTCTTTAATTCAAACTTTCAAAGGTCTTGAGGTTTCTCCTATATACGATTTGTTACACGTTTTGCAAGGTACCTCATAGATAACTCCTGATTTATCATTAATGTCTATTTTGTCTTTAGGGTGGACTAACATATTTTTGAGAGTCATGTAGGGTTTCACTGCTGCATTAATTTTATGTTTTATAAAAATTCTCTGGAGCTTCTCCGTCGTACCTTTGATATACGCTAACACTACAGTTCCCAACGGTTTTTCCTCTTCATCTTGATTGACCTTACGTTTTACATTTTTCATTGTTGAGGAAACGGCCCATTGGGGATATCCACAATTTCCCAACGCCTTTTTGATATGTTCAATTTCTATGGCTTTATCAGCATCTTCTGTTACAAGGGTTTTGCATCTATTAACCAATGTACGAACAACGCTCATTTTATGTCTTAACGGATGATGCGAATTCCAATTGAGATACTGATCTGTATGCGTAGGCTTACGGTAAACCAACAATTTTACGGATCCATCACTTTTCTTTATCAACAGGCTATCCAAAAACGGCATTTTGTCATCTTCACTCTCTTCGTGGGTAAATTTAATGCTTCCCGTTGAGTCTATAGAGTTAAGGTGATCATTAAAAGCTCGTGCCTCACCTTTCTTAATGATCTCAATCATATCGTCTACGTATCTTTTCAATTAGCAGATCTGTTAAGTCCGATTGTTGGAAATACGGAGCATTTCGTGAAAAACTCAAAACACCTAGCTGATGAAATCATTGACGTAATGTAGGAAGACGATGAGGAATTTGTTTCGCACGATGTCATTTCTTTGTTCACAAATACGCCTATCGATGAGACAATGAAAAAAATTCATAAAAAGCTTGAAATGGACAAAACGCTCAAAAAACGTACTAAATTAAATATAGCGGATATCATGGAATTGTTGCGTTTTATTGTTACTACTACATATTTCAAGTTCCGAGGAGTTATTTATCAACAGAAATTTGGTACAGCGATGGGAATGTCCAGTAAGTCCAGGTTTGGCTAATATTTTCATGGAATGGTTAGAAGAAGAAGCAATAACTACGGCTCCGATTGAATGCAAACCAAGACTTTTGAAAAGATACGTAGATACCCAGATACGCATTTCAGCCTGCCCAAACAAAAATCTAATTGAATAGTCAAAACCTGCTACATGTAAGAACAAGAACTATTCAGTATACAAATAGCTCTACGTGAATGACACAACTGTTTTATACACAAACAATACAAGGTAAAATACAGGATTAAGGCAATCCATAACGCTGAGTAAGTCACTATCCGAGTGTTTGAAACACTGTAACAAACAAATTATTTATGTCACTTAGCTGCCCTCTATTTTGTTATTGTATAATATTAGTATGTAGCACTTTATAATATCAGAAAAAATTGCGAAAAAATCACGAAAAAATAAAAATTTTAAATCATGTCTAAAAGTTCAATACAACTTTGCACTAAAAATTATTAAAACAGCCTGCATTTTTGGTGAAAATTGCGTCAGAATTAGGGAAAATTGGTGAGGATGGGTGGATTAGGAACAATTTAAGAGATAATCCAATCAACTTGATTATCATCCTAATGTCATTTATTGAAGATAAGACATGGATCTAACAGAACCATTTGTTTTTGTGGTTAAATTATTCTTCGAACTAAAGATATAGCCCTTTGAAAAATGCTTGCCATATCTTACGTACCCCTTTCAATTAGTTTTGATATCATTTTAGATGATATTTATCTTACACATTGGGGGATCTAATAGTAAATGAAATTTTTGCGCAAAAAAAATGCCCTGCTTTGACGTAATTGATTTTCACTGACCAGTGCAGCGGTCAAATGAGTAAACTTTGGGGAAAGGTGAATACTGGCTATTAATCATTTGTATGATGCAGTCATTTGACTTAACCAACTTTACTGTAGACAGGGTACTCTGATGTGACCATGTTGTTATTTATATTTGCTTAGTAGATGTTGTAGATTATTATATGGCATTGGTAGATTATTTCTTATTGAGGGGGTTTGAATGATTGGCTAATAAGAAGGCCATACTAGAGCAACATTGTTACATGATTCCAGATTCAAGTATTTGAGCTGTCTAAAACTAATGGAGGCCTAGTGACATTCTGCGACAAGCCAAACCTTGGAGAGCTTGCTGAGCATACATCTGACTTTGATAACACCATAGTTATTCAGTAAACCACATACTCCTTGTCTTTTTTACCCTGTCTATGCTTTTATTTTGTTATGTCCCCACCACATAGTGTGGGGGCATATTGTCGGCCTAGGCGCGTCCTTCTGTCCGTCCATACATCCAGCTGTTTTCTCCAAAACCGCTAAAAATACCACCTTCAAATTTTCAGGGATAACTTATGAGTGCATACAGATGTGGACCAAAAATTTTTGACTGGATACCTACTTCCTGTCAGCCATTTTGAAGTCAATAATGCTAAAATCCTCAGGCCTGTCAACTGTCCCGCAATTTGCGTATTTGTCACGCATTTGGTGAAGAATTTGAAGTCACGCCAGTTATTTTTGCGTGACAGAAAATGTCACGCAAATACGCAATTTACCTGGTAATTGTCAAGCAAAAATATTTCTGTAGAAAAATTTCTAAAAAAGATCGTCTACACAGCAAAAATACGAACGCCGGAAAAAAATGTACGCATTTCGTTCGGACTTTTCACGCGAATTACGTATATGTCAGTGCAAGAATCCACGTAGTACCAAATGTATAATCATACGGCAAATAGGCAGTACACAGCCCCGAAGCCAGGGGGGTTGGGAGGGTGACTTTGGAATTTTTGAAAAAGTGACCCCCCCCCCCGGGAAATCCTGGTTACTGTCCTGGCATATGGCATATAGAGACTACTATATAGAGATATGGATTACCCCCATAAATGTGGGACTGATTTTTCAAATCACCCCCACAACCAGGCCCGTAGCCAGAGGGGGAGCTGGGGGAGCGGAGCTCCCCCTCTGGCCAGAGATTCTTTCAAAATCATGCAGTTTTTCACCATTCTGAGAATTTTTTTCATGATTATTAGCCAAAATTGTGAAAAAGCTTCCCCTGGAAAAAAGCTGGCTACGGGCAAGCCCCCACAACTACTTGTGTATTGAAATCCCAAATTTATGGGGATAAGCTGGATCTGCAGTATTCGTTCAAACTGCCTTTAAATTTCATAATAGGCTTCTTTAATTCTTTTAAAACATATGTTTATTTAACTTATACGATGCCATATACGATAAATGTTGCCCCCTCTTTATGCGGCCATACACAATAGATTTTCACCCTCTTATACGATAACCCTATACACCCCCCCCCCCATGAAAGCGAAAGAGAGTAACCGGGCACGAAAAGAAAAATGGAAAAATATAAATGCGACGCCTGAATTATATATCCCACCGTTTGGTAAGTCATTTGAGATATAACTTCAAATACAAAGAGTAAAGATATATAAAACATCCATGACTTGATATTAAGAGGTAACATGCGACAAATAAACATTATATTAAGTCATTAGTCAAGTAGTCGGGCCCCCGGCTCAGATTTCGAAACGGGATTTTTCTCGCCGATGGATGGACCCAAATAGTGCAATGAAATAGGGAGCATATTCGCATATCTGCGACCATTCATCTTGTAAGGTGCTACTTTCTATATTCCTTTTAAATCAGATAAAACACACTGACAATCGATAATCTTTGCACAGTTAACGATCAAACATTGGGCTTCTTCATACTTCTGCTTTCTGATGAGCCACCTAATCTCTTCACTCACTCGATTTTTATACATGTTCCCGGGCCTGTGGGACCGATCATTCTGAACAGTGCGTTAGTGCGCTAGCGCGTAGCGCGTGTTTTCATTATAACCATAATTAGAACTATTTTGCCTTTTGAGATTTAAAAATCTTTAAAATGGATAGGTGGGTATGACAGAGCTGTCAAGTGTCCCGCGAATGGCGGGATTATCCCGCGAATTTGATCAAAATTAGGCTAATTCGCGTGTCCCGCAATGTCCCGCGAAGTCCCCCAAATGTGGCTCTTAACCTTAACCTTAGTCAAAAAAACGGGTACCCAAAAAATGAAAAATACGAATATATAACATAATTAGATTATGAGAAAACGTGTAAGATTTGTTTTGAATTCACAAAAATGTATGTAACATCCTTCAAAATTGAGCCAGAAGCTTCAAATAAAAAGCATATTTTAAGGCTCTTTTCTTCCTCTATCGTCATGGCCATATTTTCATTGGTTATGATGATAAAGGAAGAAAAGAGCCTTAAGATGCTTTTCATTTGAAGCCTCTAGCGCAATTTTGAAGGAAGTTACATACATTTTTGTAAATTCAAAACAAATCTTACACGTTTTCTAATGATCTAATTATGTTGTATATTCGTATATTTCGTTTTTTGGGTACCCAGTTTTTTCGACCGGGTACCAAGTTTGAACCCAGCATGGAGGATTTACTACCCGGTACCCGGTTTTTTCTACAAACCCTATCTAGAAAAGTAACCTCATTCCCTATAATTTGATGTAGATTAATCGAACCCCTATATCATGGGCTTTCAATTGAAAGCCCATGCCTACAGTATATGAATAATATATAACATAATTAGATTATGAGAAAACGTGTAAGATTTGTTTTGAATTCACAAAAATGTATGTAACATCCTTCAAAATTGAGCCAGAAGCTTCAAATAAAAAGCATATTTTAAGGCTCTTTTCTTCCTCTATCGTCATGGCCATATTTTCATTGGTTATGATGATAAAGGAAGAAAAGAGCCTTAAGATGCTTCAATTGAAAGCCCATGCCTACAGTATATGAATAGGTACATTTTAATATATAACATTATGGGGGTAAGCGTTTCATAGTTGGTCACGACGCCAGAAGTGCAAAGTATTGTTCCGAATTTTTGAATTTCGTGTTAGATTACGGTATTCACACCTGAAGCATGGTTTTTGTTTTTGATAAATTACAATAAAGTTTAATAATATTCCTATGCGTATTTTGTGAAATTGTGTTGACGTTTATTTAAGTTATAATGCAACGGTGCATTATATTTGATTAATCAGTATCTGGAAGTTTGATTTTAAGTACTTTAACATGCTTTTACATTAGTCCCAATCACGCAAATCCCTTGAATGTCCCAGGACATCCTGCAAATTTAGGTGGATGTCCCGCAAAATCCCGCAAATTTAGGGCACGTTGTCTAAAACATCTGTCCCTCTATGAAGTTTTTGGTGGTAAACCTGTTAACTGTCCCGCAATTAGAGTGTTTGTCCCTCGAATGGTCCCGCGAAATCCCGCAAATTTGATAAAAAAAATTGGCCTATTAGCGCAATCACGCAAATGCCTTAAATGTCCCGCGAAATCCCGCGAATTTAGTACATGTCTCGCAAAATCCCGCGAATTTTGGCACTGGGTCTAAAAAATCTGTCCCGCGAGAAAATCTTTAGGGGTTGACAGTACTGGTATGAGGTAGGAGGTTTTTTATACAAAGCCTTCGCAGTTACTTTTAAAACTTTAACATCCTGTTCAACCCACTTCATTCTAGATCTGATTAGGTTTTGGACCTGTTAGCTCAGTCATGGCAGGCATTTTGAATGTCTTAAGAAAAGTTAGTGAGCGATAATACTTTGTATCATATTGGAATGGTGTTTTTCGTTTTCATAGTTTAACTATTTAGTAGCTTTAAAATAATTTCAGGTGTCTTCAGTTGTAAAAGCCTATGTTACTGGTGAAACGACATTCGACAGCAAGTCGCTACTACAGTCTCAGCTGTATGCGTCTGACTCGAGAGCAGAAGGTCCTGGGTTTGATTCCCGTATGGGGCGTTGAATTTAGCACACTCTCTTTCGAGTCTAGTATCTGGCTCGGTACAATACAGCTCCCCGACGGACGTGCCCAAGGGTCGTTACATTGGTGTCAATGTGGGATTGCCCTTGTGAATCAGTTATGACGGGACGTCGTCTTCTAAGAGGGGACTGTGTAATGACCTTCGATAGCAAGTCGCTACTACAGTCCCAGCTGTAGTGGGTAGCCCTTATGGCTCAGGGGTAGAGCGTCTGACTCGAGAGCGAAGGTCCTGGGTTCGATTCCCGTATGGGGTGTTTAATTTAGCACACTCTCTTTCGAGTCTAGTATCTGGCTTGGTACACTACAGCTCCCCGATGGACGTGCCCAAGGGTCGTTACACTGTTAACAGTAGTTATATGCGATCATTTTGTTAAAAGAAATCAGCAAAAACTCCTGACTACTTTTTAATTGTTGGCCATTTTGAATTTTTCAATCCTAAAATCTTGTCTGTAAGGTCTTGTTTACACATTTTCAGGTGAACCGTTTGGTAGATCAATTTCAAATTTTCAGGTATGATTCTTAGTATGAAAATCTAGAAATGATTAGTTTATGTCCCCACCACATAGTGTGGGGCCATATTGTCAGTCTAGGCGCGTCCGTCCGTCTGTCTGTCCGTCCGTACATCCGGCAGTTTTCTCCAAAACCGCTACAGATATCATCTTCAAATTTTCAGGGATAACTTATAAGTGCTTACAGATGTGGATGAAAAAAATTGAACTCGAAACCTACTTCCTGTCGGCCATTTTGAAGTCAAATGCTAAAATCCTTGTCTGCAAACTTTAAGAAAATGGCTTCACAGTTGCTTTTAAAACTTTAATATCTTGTTCAGCTTACTTCATTCTACATTTGATTAGGTTTTGGACCTGTTAGCTCAGTCATGTCACCCATTTTGAATGTCTTAAGAAAAGTTAGCGCGCGATAATACATGTACTTTGTATCATATTGAATGGTGTTTTTGAGTTTTCATTCTTTAACTATTTATTAGTTTTTTTATAAATAATTTCAGGTGTACTTTGTTGTAAAAGCCTATGTTATTGTTAACAGTGGTTATATGTGACAATTTTGTAAAAGAGAGTCAGCAAAATCTCATAATCACTTTTTTATTTTCGGCCACTTTGGATTTTTCCGTCCTAATATCTTGTCTGTAAAGTCTTGTCTACGCGTTTTGAGGTGAATCGTTTGGTAGATCAATTTCAAATTTTCAGGGATGATTCTTAGAATGAAAATCTATAGATCTGATTAGTTTTTTGGCGTTCTGGGTAAATTTCAAGGCAGCCATTTTGGATTTTCCGTCCTAAAATCTTGTCTGTTAAGTCTTGTCTACGCATTTCAAGGTGAACCGTTTGGTTGATTAATTTCAAATTTTCAGGGATGATTCTTAGTATGAAAATCTATAGATCTGATTAGTTTTTTGGCATTCTGGATAAATGTCAAGGCAGCCATTTTGGATTTTCTGTCCTAAAATCTTGTCTGTAAAGTCTTGTCTACGCGTTTTCAGGTGAACCATTTGGTGGATCAATTTCAAATTTTCAGGGATGATTCTTAGAATGAAAATCTAGATCTGATTAGTTTTTTGGCATTCTGGGTAAATGTCAAGGCAGCCATTTAGGATTTCCGTCCTAAAATCTTGTCTGTAAAGTCTTGTCTACGCATTTCCAGGTGAACCGTTTGGTAGATCAATTTCAAATTTTCAGGGATGATTCTTAGTATGAAAATCTAGAACAGATTAGTTTTTGGCATTCTGGATAAATGTCAAGGCAGCCACTTTGGATTTTCTGTCCTCAAATCTTGTCTATAAAGTTTTGTTTACATGTTTTCTGGTTAACTGTGTGATGGATCAATTTCAAGTTTTTCAGGGGTGTTTCTTAGTATGAAAATCTAGAACTGACTTATTTCTGGCATTCTGGGTAAATTTTAAGGTGGCCATTTTGGATTTTCCGTCCTCAAATTGTGTCGGTAAAGTCTTGTCTACTCATTTTTAGGATAACCATTTGACGGGATCACCCCATCATGATATACCATGACATCTCATTTCTTCTCAGCCCTGAGATGCCATGATATAATGAGCTTGATTTGGCGATCCAGGAGAGCCCAAAATTGAGGATTTTTGAGATCTTTCATTCCAGCTCATATTTCATTTAATTGGGGTCATTAAACTTGTGTACGTGTACCTGTGCTAATATCTGCTGTTAAATACAATGCCTATTATGTAATGTATTGACATTAGGTAAATGATTACATGATAACTATCACACTTATTGACAGTTATTACTCTTCCCATCTGATGGGCTCAGATCACAGAATATGCCTCATAATATCAGAGCATGTTTCAGGTGAAACAGAAAGATGCTATGAGTATCAGAATGGGATCACCCATAGGTGGGGACATTTTGTACACATTTGTGTTCTTGTATACAGAATGTTTTCAATAATTGAGTTAAGAATTCAGCTCACCATATCGATACCAATCCTTTATTTTATCTGATGTTTTGTTATATCAAAGAAAAGCCTACTACACGGAAAAGGTGTATCATTTGCGGGTAACCTTCACTTCTCTTTGAAGTCTAATAACGCTAGATGTAAAAACTATTGAAAATGGTGCTAGCGTACCATACCCTAAAATGTATGTTTTTCTTTTTAACTAATTCTTAATCTCACAATATGGTGACTTGATAATATTTGTATAATACCCTACATGTATTAATTTGGGAACACTCAAGCCCCTGGCCAGGATTTGCCAAAGGGGGGTCACATTTTGAAAAATTTCTGGGGGGTTCACTTTAGACAATTTTGGCCCAAAAATGGCCAAAATTATTTAAAAAGTGCTCAGAATGGTGAATAACTGCATGATTATCCCACCGAACAAAGTTTGAGGGGATATAGGAAAGCTGTCCGTCCGTTCGTCCGTTCGTCCGTCTGTCCGTCCGTCTGTTTGTCCGGGCGATAACTCAAATACCGTTTCACGGATTTGATTCAAATTTTATAGGCTTATGCCTTATGGGTGTAGGACCTCTGCTCGAGAAGGAATTTTAAATATGGCCACTGAATTCAAAATGGCCGCCATTTTTCGTAAAAAATGTAATCTTTAATAACTCAAATACTAGTTTGCAGATTTGGTTCAAATTTTATATGCTGATGCCTAGAGACACAGTAGATATGTTCGAGTAAAAATTTTCAAGATGGCGGCTAGATTTCAAAATGGTGGCCATTTTTCGTAAAAAAGGTAATCTTTGATAACTCAAATACCAGTGAACGGATTTGGCTCAGATTCTATATGATGATTCGTAGGGACACAGTAGATCTGTTCGATAAATATATTTCAAGATGGCGGCTGAATTTCAAAATGGTAGCCATTTTTCATAAGAAAAAACGTAATCTTTGATAAGTCAAATACCAGTGAACAGATTTGGTTCAAATTTTATATGCTGATGCCTAGAAACACAGTAGCTCTGTTCGAGAAAAAAATTTTAAGATGGCGGCTGATTTTTAGAATGGCTGCCATTTTTATTTTCATTTTCGTAATCTTTGGTAACTCAACTGCCGTTCGGTGGGATTTGCTACTCCGTGGAGTTGCTGTTTTTCTAGTTTTGAAAGAATTTTGGCCAGGGGGGGGGTCTGCATATATAAGTATGTAAGCACCCCGTTTGTTATATAGAGGGAACACTGTGTATATAGTATATATACACATATATTTGTAACTTCTCTGTTGCAGGTCCTAGTATTTGAGCTACACAGTGCCAAGTCGGCAGTTTCCCTCACAGACAAGCCACATTTAGGAGAGACTGTTGACCAAAAACTAAACATTCCTTTTCATTTACAAATATGGCTTAATGCTTTGAAATTAATTTTAAGATATGGTGGCTGGTTAGCATGGCCAATTTTAAAAAGAATTATGTGATTTTTATTCGTGATTTTCAGTTGTGTAATAGAACTATATAGAACAACAACAAAAATCAGTGAATTCCAATAGTGATACAATGGTGAGCTATTTCTGTAGAAAATTGTAAAGTAGCTTTGATGTTAAGTGGTGATATAGATTATTACAAATGAAAGTGTGTATACCATGAAGGTTTGGATACCGGTGCCATGTATTAGGGTTGAATGAAAAGACCCAAAACTTGTCTTATTCATTCCATCTTGAATTGTTTATGATAAAGAATGACAAATAAATTGAAATTACATATTTTGTGAACAAGTTTCTGCTTTTAATTCTATTCAAAAACAGTATATATAAACAGGCTATAAAATACTTAAGCATAAAGTCCCCACACACATAACTGGACTTTCTCCATTGCCCAAATTACAGAACTAGGATAAAATTGAAATGGGGATTGGTGAATTAGCCACACATTTTTTGAGGTCATGATTCATGCGGTACTAACTCCCCGGAACGTATCGAAACCAAAGCGTCTCGCAAAACCGTTAATTTGAATTTCAAACCTACCCTGTCTTTGAAAAATCAGTGATTGTGAGTCTCACTAAAAACTTCGCTAAAATGAGGTACTCCAAAAGCCCTGATATCTCGCCAGTTCTTGTATCCTCCCCCATATTCTGCGCAAGGACGCCTATTACAAACCTCCATCGCTGCATCTACATACTGTACGCCCGGTATCATTCGCGTGCGATTTAGTTTCGCGCTTTTCGCGAGGGTGTTAAAATCGCGAAAAATTATCGTCGCGAAATTGCCAATTAAATCCCCGGGAATTTGTTTTTACCCGGGGCTCTGGTGCATTTCGTTTTGTGTAAAACGTTTCGTCTAGTGTTATTGGGCGATAATTGGATGATTTCCACCAACATGTCTATTTACGTTGGCTAGTCAGGCCAACTACTACCAATGGGCCTAGGCTTAATAATGACATCGACGATATTATAGAAACTGAAGTTCAAATTGCTAAAAATAACATGAAGTCCAAGCGTGGAACATATAAAGTGTACAACGACGCAGAAAAATTTGAAGTCTCTGAATCGACAGTTCACTCCTTCAAAAGTCTGTTGCACAATAAGATTAAGGGAGATCTTGTGAAATTCGCGAAATTAAATAGCCGCGAAATCGTGTTTTCGCAAAATTCGCGAAATTAAATCTCGCGAATAATACCGGGCGTTAAGCTTACAGTATTTATTACATTAAACGCAACAGTTTGGAAAAATTCTACACGTCTGTTCGAAATTGATCAAAACGTCCATGTGTCTTGCAAAATGCCCCGTCGAGACATTGACAATGATCGGATTGAGCTTAGTAGTCGACAATGATCGGATTGAGCTTAGTAATGTGCAAATTATTCATGGAAGTAACAATAGTTAATCTACAAAACGGACTTTACAAAAGTAATGGATTCCCGCAAAACCGGGTTGGACGATTAAATTCAAAGCAACAATCAATGCAAAATATCTAATGTTCATGTTGGGTTAATACAAGGTTTTCTTCAAGACAAATGCTTTTCTACGTGCATCGCATATGTACACACTACCCTACCACGTGACCACTTGTAAAGGGGATACTGGATACAGTTAAGTTGCAAATGGAGAATGGGGGTTTATTTCCATATTTCTGAACGTAAACTACTGTAACGGCTAGCCTAATTTGGGTAGTGTGGGTGTTTTTAGACTAGGCTAGGTCACTTTGGGGATACGTTGTACACATTAAATGTACGTGTGAAAATAAAGAGACACAATAATTAATGAAAGCTTAACAATATATATTCTGGCTTTATCCGCCTCAAAATTAATACAACACAAATTGATACTAAGTTTCAGTTTCAGAGGTGCAAATTATAAGTCCTTTATGCAATTATATTTGTATATTTATCTCTATATATAAATGTTCATCACTAATATAGTTTTTCATCAGCTGAGCGATGCATATTCTAAGTCCACAGATATAATCTTAAGTTCATCAAATGAGTTGGTGAATATTCTAAGTCTATCAAACTGAAGATGTATGGAATCTGCTAAGTTCTTCAGATTATCGATGAATATTCTAAGTCCACCAAGTTGACGATATAATCTAAGTTCATCAAATGAGTCGGGAATATTCTAAGTCTATCAAACTGAAGATGTATGGAATCTGCTAAGTTCTTCAGATTATCGATGAATATTCTAAGTCCACCAAGTTGACGATATAATCTAAGTTCATCAAATGAGTCGGGAATATTCTAAGTCTATCAAACTGAAGATGTATGGAATCTGCTAAGTTCTTCAGATTATCGATGAATATTCTAAGTCCACCAAGTTGACGATATAATCTAAGTTCATCAAATGAGTCGGGAATATTCAAAGTCTATCAAACTGAAGATGTATGGAATCGGCTAAGTTCTTCAGATTATCGATGAATATTCTAAGTCCACCAAGTTGAAGACATAAACTAAGTTCACCAAATGGGCTGTAAATATTCTAAGTCTATCAAACTGAAGATGTATGGAATCTGCTAAGTTCTTCAGATTATCGATGAATATTCTAAGTCCACCAAGTTGAAGACATAAACTAAGTTCACCAAATAGGTTGTAAATATTCTAAGTCTATCAAACTGAAGATGTATGGAATCTGCTAAGTTCTTCAGATTATCGATGAATATTCTAAGTCCACCAAGTTGAAGATATAAACTAAGTTCATCAAATGGGCTGTAAATATTCTAAGTCTATCAAACTGAAGATGTATGGAATCGGCTAAGTTCTTCAGATTATCGATGAATATTCTAAGTCCACCAAGTTGAAGATATAAACTAAGTTCATCAAATGGGCTGTAAATATTCTAAGTCTATCAAACTGAAGATGTATGGAATCGGCTAAGTTCTTCAGATTATCGATGAATATTCTAAGTCCACCAAGTTGAAGATATAATCTAAGTTCACCAAATGGGCTGTAAATATTCTAAGTCTATCAAACTGAAGATGTATGGAATCGGCTAAGTTCTTCAGATTATCGATGAATATTCTAAGTCCACCAAGTTGAAGCTATAATCTAAGTTCACCAAATGGGCTGTAAATATTCTAAGTCTATCAAACTGAAGATGTATGGAATCGGCTAAGTTCTTCAGATTATCGATGAATATTCTAAGTCCACCAAGTTGAAGATATAATCTAAGTTCACCAAATGGGCTGTAAATATTCTAAGTCTATCAAACTGAAGATGTATGGAATCGGCTAAGTTCTTCAGATTATCGATGAATATTCTAAGTCCACCAAGTTGAAGATATAATCTAAGTTCACCAAATGGGCTGTAAATATTCTAAGTCTATCAAACTGAAGATGTATGGAATCTGCTAAGTTCTTCAGATTATCGATGAATATTCTAAGTCCACCAAGTTGAAGATATAAACTAAATTCACCAAATGGGCTGTGAATATTCTAAGTCTATCAAACTGAAGATGTATGGAATCTGCTAAGTTCTTCAGATTATCGATGAATATTCTAAGTCCACCAAGTTGAAGATATAAACTAAGTTCATCAAATGGGCTGTAAATATTCTAAGTCTATCAACCTGAAGATGTATGGAATCGGCTAAGTTCTTCAGATTATCGATGAATATTCTAAGTCCACCAAGTTGAAGAAATAAACTAAGTTCACCAAATGGGCTGTGAATATTGTAAGTCTATCAAACTGAAGATGTATGGAATCTGCTAAGTTCTTCAGATTATCGATGAATATTCTAAGTCCACCAAGTTGAAGATATAAACTAAGTTCATCAAATGAGTTGGTGAATATTCTAAGTCTATCAAACTTCAGGCAACTATGGAGAATATTGGCTAAGTCCCTCAATATATACGTGAATATTCCTAAGTTCCTCTGGGCATCAAACTTCAGGCAACTATGGTGAATATTGGCTAAGTCCCTCAATATATACGTGAATATTCCTAAGTTCCTCTGGGCATCAAACTTCAGACAACTTTGGGGAATATTGGCTAAGTCCCTCAATATATACGTGAATATTCCTAAGTTCCTCTGGGCATCAAACTCCAGGCAACTATGGTGAATATTGGCTAAGTCCCTCAATATATACGTGAATATTCCTAAGTTCCTCTGGGCATATTGGCTAAGTCCCTCAATATATACGTGAATATTCCTAAGTTCCTCTGGGCATCAAACTTCAGACAACTTTGGGGAATATTGGCTAAGTCCCTCAATATATACGTGAATATTCCTAAGTTCCTCTGGGCATCAAACTTCAGGCAACTTTGGGGAATATTGGCTAAGTCCCTCAATATATACGTGAATATTCCTAAGTTCCTCTGGGCATCAAACTTCAGGCAACTATGGAGAATATTGGCTAAGTCCCTCAATATATACGTGAATATTCCTAAGTTCCTCTGGGCATCAAACTTCAGACAACTTTGGGGAATATTGGCTAAGTCCCTCAATATATACGTGAATATTCCTAAGTTCCTCTGGGCATCAAACTCCAGGCAACTATGGTGAATATTGGCTAAGTCCCTCAATATATACGTGAATATTCCTAAGTTCCTCTGGGCATCAAACTCCAGGCAACTATGGGGAATATTGGCTAAGTCCCTCAATATATACGTGAATATTCCTAAGTTCCTCTGGGCATCAAACTCCAGGCAACTATGGTGAATATTGGCTAAGTCCCTCAATATATACGTGAATATTCCTAAGTTCCTCTGGGCATCAAACTCCAGGCAACTATTGTGAATATTGGCTAAGTCCCTCAATATATACGTGAATATTCCTAAGTTCCTCTGGGCATCAAACTTCAGACAACTTTGGGGAATATTGGCTAAGTCCCTCAATATATACGTGAATATTCCTAAGTTCCTCTGGGCATCAAACTCCAGGCAACTATGGTGAATATTGGCTAAGTCCCTCAATATATACGTGAATATTCCTAAGTTCCTCTGGGCATCAAACTTCAGACAACTTTGGGGAATATTGGCTAAGTCCCTCAATATATACGTGAATATTCCTAAGTTCCTCTGGGCATCAAACTTCAGACAACTTTGGGGAATATTGGCTAAGTCCCTCAATATATACGTGAATATTCCTAAGTTCCTCTGGGCATCAAACTCCAGAGGTGCGTCGAGGTTCCTTCTCATCAAAAGTTGTGTACGTGCCTCCCAGTATATGTCGAATCTGCCTAAGATCCTCTCAGTATATCCTCAAAGTCCCTCAACGGGTATGTCGAATCTGCCTAAGATCCTCTAAGTATACCAGGATAAAATCCTCTAAGTCCCTCAAGGGGTATG